GGTAAATAACAGGAACTTAGGGAACACGTCCAAATTCTGACACGCTATACAGCTAAGTGGGTATCTGGCTCTGCACATCAACAGCTAAGTGGGTATCTGGCTCTAAACAGCAACGAAGAACATTACTACAAATAAAAGCTTTGTTGTCAGCCTTTGTTTAAAATTACAAAACCTAAAGGGCACTACCTGTAGCAATAGTTGCTATGCAGCAAGTCCCCCAAAAAAACAAACCTATGATCTCAGCCTTCTGGATAGGAACCTCATGAACAAAGAGCAAGAATTGGACAATACAGTTACTGCATGCCAAAAATCTTTAAGATAATTTATTCATATTAATTTGATTGATTTTCCCCATTTTTATGTCTTACCCATGCTTTCTGGAACAGGATGGACCCAGAACCAATTTTTGAATGTTTAGATGTAACGTGGATTCTCTCCCAACTCAAGCACTCTACTTTTGCATGCTTATCGAAAACTGGATGTAGGCAACCCTAGGGACAAGTTCTCACAAGTCTCTGTGGGTAAACAACATTTAACGCTACAGAGAATGATGTCCCTTCATGAGAGAGGGTTTCCCTGTCCCTTTCGGTTTGTTGTTAACATGGGCCTCTGAGATTTGATGTCAGTGAACCCCAAATAAACTTTCTCCCTTACTCACTAAACCTACCTGAAAGGAAGATAAGTTTAATGAGGAAATGCCTTCAAAACATACTTCATTTTACATGCACATCTCACCTTGTTTTAGTATCTCACTCATGGAGCAGGTGCTTGAACAACTTTCTCACACAATCAGCCTTCTTACAATGGTTTCAATACATCCAGAACCTGGATGCACCATGCACCTGGCAGCAGTCTGTGCCCAGGTAAGTCAGCATCTGCAGTACCTGTTTGCCGGCCCCTAACTGTGGGAACTCAGCGGGAGTCCATACATGCAGTTCATGTGAATGAAGAAGAGATACAGGAAAAAGATCATCCTGCCCCTTTACTCTGATCTCATGAGACCTCACCTGGAGTACTGTGTGCAGTTCTGGTGTCCTCAACATAAAAAAGGACATGGAGCTGTCGGAACAAGTCCAGAGGAGGCCACGAGGATGATCAGGGGACTGGAGCACCTCCTGTGTGAAGATAGGCTGAGAAAGCTGGGGCTGTTCAGCCTGAAGAAGAGAAGGCTGCATGGAGACCTCATAGCAGCCTTCCAGTATCTGAAGGGGGCCTATAGGGATGACGGAGAGGGACTCTTCATTAGGGACTGTACTGACAGGACAAAGGGTAACGGGTTCAAACTTAAACAGGGGAAGTTCAGGTTAGATATAAGGAAGAAGTTCTTTACTGCGAGGGTGGTGAGGCACTGGCACACATTGCCCAAAGAAGCAGTAAATGCTCCATCCCTGCAGTGTTCAAGGCCAGGCTGGATGGAGTCTTGGGTGACATGGCAGCGGGGTTGGAACTGAATGATCTTAAGGTCCTTTCCAACCCTAACTATTCTGTGATTCTTTAAAAAAAAGGGGGGGGGGGGGAGCAATTCTGTGGGTGAGACTCAGTCATAGGTTTGTAGGTAAAAAGCTTTCCCCATACTTCTGCTAAATATAAACTGGAGTATGCCTGCCTGGCTTTGGGTACTCTAAGTTCCGCTCTGAGCTCCAGACCTGGCTGAACTTTGTGTGGGACACCAGATGATGTATAATCTCACTAAGAACGTATCTAAGGGGAGGGATGAAGGGACCTTTTGAGAAAGCCTTTACATCCTGCTAAACTTTGATACATCTCCAGAAGAACCTACAAGAAGAATCCTGGAGGTACAAAGGAAGCATTCTAGTAGTTGTAAACAAAGGTGTGCATGGGTAGCACTGAAATGACGTTGGGCTGTTTTCACATACCCGATCCTGTGAGGTAGCACTCATTTTGGTCTGCTGATTCTTTGGAATTTTAGTCTCAGTATACTGACTGAGGTCGGTGGTGACTTGGGCTTTCTCTTTAAAAATCATTCTTACTAGAAGCAGCACTGCAGTTTCACCCCTGTGTACATGTGATACTCAGTCAAAACTTCCAAGAGGACTTCCTGAAATTCCAGATATTTTTATCAGGTAAATTCTCCACCTGTTTGTATTTATTTGGTTTACATTAATTTATGCAAGTTATACTGTCTAATAACTTTTTGTTTTATACTAAAGCATGACTTGGCATATAATTCTGGAAGGAAGGAAGGAAGGAAGGAAGGGAAGTACTGTGACAGGAAGAAGTAATGCCAGGCCTACACCACAGCCACAGAGCATCAGTGTAGCTTTCATTTCTTGTTTCCTTTTTCCTTTTCCTGTTCTACCTCTCTGACAGAACTTTAAGGTTTTGACTTACTGACAGTCTGAATGCAGAAATAGAATATCCTTCTAGATGGGAGCCATGACAGCTGCAGTTTGTTCCCTGTGGGTTTCCTCTTCTTTCCCTCGGTCAGAAGACACTTCTGTGGAGCAGCAAACACTCAGGAGTTTCTTGCTCATGCCTTTTCCTCTGTTCACAGCTGTCCTGCTATGGGAAGTTCTCTGAGTAAGAAACCACTCATCACAGTCAACATGTTAAGACTCACACTGTGAAAAATTAGGGTTGTCTATGGGCAGAATCATCACTTTTAAATGGAGGAAATGCCTGCTTCAAGAACAACTGGTGACATGGTCTCCATTGCTGACATGCACTGACCAGCTATCAGATCTCTATGTTACACTTCCACAAAGCAAGCATGGTGTCAGGTTTGTGGATACCTATCCTGAAAGGATGTCTGTGTGGATATCCATGAGAATAGGAAGATCTCACTTATTTCCTCCCTGCTGATAGATGGATTTGTGGGAAAGCTGCAAGCTTGACTTCATGAGATTTTCTGTTTCCCTTCTTTTACCTGCTTTGATCCATTTTTTCTCCAAATGGGAGTACTCATTAGTATTTGCTAATTCTTTAAGAGTCCCGTGGGACAGCTTTATATTAATGTACCAAAGCAGAGGCTTTGTGTTTGTTGTTGTCTAACAGGGTGTGCCCTATATTATGATTTGATGGAACATCTCCAGGTCCTTTTTATTGTTTTAATCAGACATTACTGAGAAGGATGAACAAACAGATTAATGTTTCATCACTCACTATGGTTTATTAAGGTAATTAGAAACAAAACATAGCAATGGCTATATCACAGGAATATAACATTAAACCAGAAGATTAATTATAGCACCTCCTACCCCTTTGAATACACCACAGAACCTCAGCTCCAACCCCACCACAGCCCTCCATCCCTGCTCCCAACTGCAAGCACCCACCCTCCCAGGAAAACATCATCCAGAGTCAACATCTGAAGGAAAGAAGCTCCACTGAGTGTTCTCTAAGCAAAGGCAGGAGAGAGGCCAGCTCAGCTTAGAGCCTTTGTTTTGCACAGTACACTTGTAGGGAAGACTGTACAGGAGAGCTCTCTCCCAGGCCATGAAGAGACATGAAGAGAGAGAAAGCGTGCAGGTGTCTTGCAGCTCTTGTAGGACAAGCTCCAGAGTCTTCATCAGCTTTTGTTACATTACAGTATCAAGAATGAAGTAACAATAAGCCCTTTTATCAGCAAACTTACTATGCTGTCCAGTGGAATGAGTCTTGGGATTCACCTGGGAAATAACTAAGGTGCTACAATCCCCACTCTGCTCTATTGCTCAAACATTAGGAAAAATATTATAAACCACAGTTTTCCACAAGCACTTGACAGCTATCACTAAAAAATACAGCCAACTCAATGCAATTACTAAAGACCTAGCAATTTTTTCCCGCAGATTCATGTTTTGAGCACAGCCTGAACTTCCATGCCCATCTTCACAAGCTGTGAAGGCTTTCTACAGCATATAGCGAGTGGTCATTGTTTTCATTAACTCTGAGGCATATTGCAGAGCTCTTACATACTCCTGCACCATAGCACAGCAGCTCTTGGGTGGGGGGTCTTAGGAAGTATTCTCAAGCTCACAGAAATGGAAATGTGGTAGATTGGGTTGAGAATTAAAAGATGCCTACATGGGAATGTTACAATATCCTTTATGAGGTAATGTCCATTTTTTTCTGTTTTCCAACAGATATCAGCCTGCTATTCTCATTTTGTTAGCATTGGTAATGTACAACTTAAATCAGTTTGCTTCCTAAAACTGTTGCTGTATGTGCACACATGCACACACATGTTCTGCAGGTTTCCTTTGTTGAGATCCAAACCATTTAACAGCATTACAACAGCCAGTGGTTCCAGGCAATGTGCTACTTACAGTTTCCTGGAGGCAAAAGTCAAATCTGAAAGTCCGTTGTGAATAGTTACTGAGATTTTTTCTGCACCAATAGCCTCTGTTACTGACTAGTGCTTGTGATGAATGAATTAGCCATCCGTTTTCTGTCAGCACTGCAGGAAGAACATGAGATCCTGTGTGAAAGACAAATTAAGAATAGAAAGCAACTTGCATCTAACAGCAAGAAACTGCAGGGGAGTGGTAACTACTCCAGTGCTGATAACAAAGACACTTATCAAACTGTCAGTATCATTTCTTCACTTTTTCTGGGCTGTCTGTTAGTGCCAGAAAATTAAAGTAGCTTTAGATCTATTTACAGCTTTAGATATAGTTCTGGAGGGATCTGTCATGTAGAAGCAAGTTATGAAGCAAATCTTATTCTTCTCTTCTTCCGCGTGATCTGACAAAGAAAGCAAGAGAAGCAGGTAGCTGGAGATGGCTCTGATTCGGGGGAGAAGGGGAGAGAGAGACTGCCTCCCTCTGCATAGCCTTAGCTCTGATGGGAATAATCTCCAGCTTCCTCTGCCTCGGCATCATTAAAAAGTAAAAGAAATTCACATGAACTACAGCATTGCCAGGGCAGCACGAGCAGTCCAGTACTGGGGGGTAACAGGACTGTGGGGACCCCAAATATGGTGGTGGGGAGGGTAAGATCCAGAACCATAAATGCAAATCACACGCTACATGAAACGATAAGCTTTTAATTTCTTGCTGTTCTTGCTTGGCCTTTTCACTTTGGATCTCTCCCTGTGCAAAGCTGCCCCATTTGTAGAATAGTCAGCCACGCAAGAGCTGCCAGATGTACTGAGCAGTAGTCCTGGCTTTGTATGCCATCTGCCATCAAGGAGGGATGTAGCAAGCTTCTCCCTCTGCTTCCTACTGACACTATGGTCCCATCAGTGTCTCCAGCTGATGTTCAATATATCACTGCATCTTCCCTCTGAGATAGACCACCTTGTGCTGGAAGCTGTCTTCACAACCCTCGTGACTCAAATCCCTTTGCATCCGTTTTTCTCAGCCTCCTTTTCCCTCTCCCTTGGCCACGCTGCTGGCAGCAAAGGCTGTACAGATTGGTGGCTGCAGTGTGATTAAGCTGTTTTGTCCCTGTCATTTTCTATGTGTTGAGAAGCTGTGAGCCAACTCTGGATCCAAGACTTGCCTGACAGCCTTTGTACATTTGCAGATAGAGCTGATAGGAACTAAGTGCATTTGAGAGATATTTAAGGTGGCTCCTGAGAGACTGACATCCCCTAAAGGTGATGGTAATACTCATTAATTTCTAAAACTGGCTACAATTAATATGGTCACAAATTAATTTCCAGTGTGACTAGGCAGTTGATTTTCAAAAAAATGGAGCAAGTCTTTTACTTAATAGCAGTTACAGATCTAAAACTAAAGCCACGTAGGAATATAAGAAGTGGATAATGGCTTGAGTTGCTTCTCACACATGCTTCATTGCTCCCCTTACCATAATACTACAATCAATTTCTTTGCACTCAATCTCCTTCGAGGTGAGAAAGCAGCAAGCAGAACAAATGTATTACCTGAAGTTACCCAGCTCCACCTAACTGCCATGCTCAGCCCAGTCCCAAGGGCTCATGGGCTCCAGCAGGCACAAATGGGGAAAGCCCAAATATTGTCCCGCCTGTGCTGACTGCCCAGCCGGTTTACAGGGTGGTAAATGCTTTTGGAGAATAGGTAAGAGTCACCTTTCCACTGAAGGTTTAAATCCTGCACCACCTGAGTGGCACAGTTTAGGGGCACATCTACCTACTTCTCAAAAGAAAAGATGTATTTTTTCAGGCCTTCCCTCTTACATCAGACCATAATGCTCACAAATATGGTGAAAAGAGGGCAAAGTCACCAGGAACACCAGACCTGCTGCTCATCAGAAGATTTTGAAGAGATAAAAGGGAAACCCTGGCTGGATTGCTGCCAACCAAGCTGCTTGAGAGATGAGGCTGGTGGGCTGTGGTGACAGCACTGCTAAAAGGGAATATAATCAGACATTAAATTCTGTGCAATGTAGCTTCCAGCATCTGAAGTTATTTGCTTCTTTTCTACAGGATTCATGATTGAGGCTCTTGCAGACGAGTGGTTTGACTCTAAAGAAGATAGTTTATTGCTTCTTATGTCTTTTTCTAATAAAATATTGAAGTCCTTAATGTAAAAAAAATTATGTCCTAAAAATATTTGTTGTGGAAATCAACACTCTCCACCCTTCCCCTCTTACCAACAGGCAAAAATCTATTATTTATAAACAGTCTTCATGAACCAAACATACTCATTAATGATCAACAGGAAGACAATAATTTCATATAGGTAAAGTACTGTACAGTACAACAGATCATGGCAGGGATTTGTTATAAGAGTGCTTAGGATGATTAACCACATCACCAAACACCAGTAGAATCTCAGCAGCAGTCAGTCAACAATCCACATATCAAGCACCTGTGAGGACAGGTTCGGCCCGTTTTGTACAGAGGAAACTGTTCTTTGTTTAACCTACATTAGTCATTCAGGGAAAAATAATCCTCATAGTCCATAGTATAGTTGAACAAGAAAAAATCCATTTGATACAATTTTTTGATCTTCTCAATTTGTTCTGAGTTCAATTGTCTGAGGTACTCCAAGGTGATATCACCATTAGTTCGTTTCTCTGAGCCGTACCTCTTCAAGCTGGGGAAGTGCAGGCTCTTTGGTGCTCCAATGACCGTCAGAACATGCTCAGAATCTAAGCTAAGAGTTTCATACTTACCCAGAATATCATAGTGAATGTTGCAAGGATCACAGAGCAGAAACATTGGTTTCCAGTGGATGTCAAGACTGTTTGGTGGTTTTGCTACAATGAAATTGACAAACTCCTGAAAACTCACTTTTTCAGATGAATTTTTGTCTTTCCTGAACATGGCCCTAATCTCATTAGCCACAGTGATACTGTAGAATGGCTCAGAGTGAAGAAGTTTGTCTCTGTAAGCTGAAACCAGGCGTTCCAAGGGATGTCTGGTGAACATCACTTTGGTGTAGTTGTTCAGAAATTCTTTTTGTATGGCAGGAGGGTATGCCACCAGCTTCTTGATCAGCGAGGTTTGGTGGATGTGGTCATGCTCAATTTCAGAAGCTTCAGCATTTAAGTTTGCTTGGAGAATAAAAATAGTTCTCTTCCAGTTGGAGCAGCCTACCTTGGGCACCTCACAGTAGATAAATTTATGTTTGTGCTCCACAAAGAGCTGGCTTGCGACATGAGAATCCAATTTACTTCTTAATTTGAGGAGGCCGTTCTTTAGGCAGAGAGAAGCCAGTGTGCTTTTGCGATCATTCTGAATTGCCAGCCAGTCTTCAGTGGGATCAGGAAAAACACCTGCAATCCAGAAAGAACTTTAAACCATTAGTGTGAAATAGACTTATTAAGTCTCTTTCTTTGTGACACTCACATCACTCAATCTATTGTCCTGTGTATAAAAACTAATGAAGATGCTAAAATCAGTATTTTGTTTTCTGTCACCAGGCTCCACTACGGCAAACCCACAATAAACTGTTCTGCTTAGTGAAAAGTCTGTTAAAATGAAAACTTTCAACAAGTTAGAGTATTACTTTAGTCAAGATGGATGCTCTAACACTTGTCAACTGATTCTTTGTAGTGCTCTCCCTCTCATACATTGCTAAGCTAGCAAAAGTGGCATGGCCTTGGATGTTTTCACAACACTGTTTACCACTAAGGCTCTGTAGTTACTTTCTAAAACATTTGAGAAAGGTGTCCCTGGTTCTAAAATACATTCAGTCTTTTTGTTGGTAAATTCTTTACTCACCTGTTAGGGGTTTTTGTCTCTTACAAAAAAAGCCAAAAAGAAAGATCCCAAAAATAAAATTTGGGAGAAGGAAAAGTAACACTTTCAGGTTCATATTATTTTCACAGGAAGGAGGATGACATGAACTCTAAACTGGAAATCTGCTTTTCTGTCAACAAGGAAAAACAATGCAAGTTAGATTTTGTATGACTGATATAAGAAAGATAACAAGGTATTCCCTTACAGACTTTATAATATCAGAAAGACCTTTTAAGCCTATAAAAACAGGCTTTACTAATAAGTAAAAATTCTACTATGAAAAAGACTCACCATAATTATACTGTTAAGCTGAACAGACAAATACTATGACCATTTCAAAGTATTAGAAAACTTAAAACATACATTCTTAGAACAGTGGAGTGTGTATGAGCAAATGCTTTCCCCTTCTCCTCATGTAAATATGGTGTTTCTGCCAAGCAAACTATCCCTTCATATTGTGTAACAATAACTTCATTTATGATTACAGAGTTGTGTTCTTTTATAAAAATAACATTATATGTTAGGATCTGGGAGTACAAAGTTTGCTGTAACCTGCAACAGGGTATCTGTAAGGCTATGATACATTCAGGATGAGATTCTTCCCTTCTTTTGCCCTGAAGCTTTCCACTTTGTGCAAATAATATTCACTGCAGGAGAATCCACAATCCAGAGAATCCTAAGCACTAGTAATAGATGAATTCTCACATTCTCTCTCTCCCAAGAACATTGAAGTGTTTATGTTTGCTGCCATAAGAGCTCCCAGGTGTTTCACTGTGGCAGGAAGCATATAGAAGCAGCAAGGAAATGTCCCATGTTCATAGATAAAAGGAGAGAAGACCAATGCAGTCCAACATTCTACATATTCCCTCTCCTGTGCTCACTCGTTTTGTCCCTTTGCACTTCCTGGAGAGAGAGCTCTCTAAGTCCTCTGTGCAATCTTCCTATGTTGCCCCCATTAGAAAGCTCTTCAGCAGCGTGCTATTCATCATTTTTTTGTTTGAAATAGCAAAGTTAAGTGCAAAACCGTAACTACTGGCAAATGTGACATTCTATTTCTGTCTCATAAAGTCTGCACGATCTTCCTTTTCCACTTCTGAGTTTTTCACCCAGAACCTGCTGGCAATAAAATCATCATTGCCTGGATTTCTTAATGACGTAACTTCTTTCTGTTTTGTTTTTACAGAGATACAACAGGACCACTCTGGAAGTTATTTGTGATGCCCTCATCCCCTCAAGTGTGGATGTATGTGAACTCCATCTGCCATAATGGAAACTTTTCCTGGGTGTTCTGAGGCAGCACTAGAGGCAGCACTAGTTAAATTGCTGTCAATGTACTTGCACACAAGGCTTCTTCCTTTCAGGGATGATGGCTGATTATTGTATCATGCATCTTTACCCAAATTATCTTCAAAATCACACAGTTAACTGCATTACTCATGATTAAATCTTAGTTTAGGCATGACCTATGAAATGGAGGGGGGTGACTGTTCACCCTCTCTGACCTGTAAACATCATTATGAACAAATCTGCAGTCACATATATTAATAATATACTTGTGTTACATTCGATTGTTAAAATATTCATTCAAATCAATGCAACATTTTTACATATTGTGGTATTTAGTCATTTTTTTGTATTTTCTTGGCTGAATAAGACTATTAGAAAGGCTACAAGAAAAAAAAAAGGGTTGATCTTTAGCCTTAAACCTTTGCTTTGCTGCACATCATTTCTCCCTTCACCATGTTATCTATTGATTTCTAACACATCAAAGGCTACTTTCAAGGGCAGCTAATGTCAGACAGGCTGTTCATTGAACTCATGAGGTCCAAGACTGAGTGATCCCTCTGTATTCTTCTTCACAAGTGGTTTGAAGACACTATTTCATGCTGTGTAGCAACCAAAATAAATACGACACTAAACAATTCTGTAACGGGACTCCTTGTTAGAGTATAGTTAGGAGAAAGAAACTGGGCCTCATTTACCTTAAATGCTGTCACCTCAGAGTATAAGGGTAGTTATTGTTACCATACCTGTCTCAGGAATCAGAAAATTAACCAGATTAATTTACTCTATTTAGATACTTCTATCATATATATTTGTTAATTAAATTACTGGTACATAATATAAGGTCTGCTGTAAGACACATTTCATGTTGAAACGTGTCAATGAGTCACCAGAGGAAACTTGCCTCCTTGAGGGAAAGAAGCTGTTTATGAGCTAGTCAAACACAGGAGACAACTCCTTTACTAAAACATTTGTGGAAGCAAAAGAATCCTTATTTTAATTGAGGACAATGGTCAGACCATAAGGAGGGATAGAACAAGCTAAAACGTGACAGGTAAAATCTTTCTGGACCCCTTAGAAAACTTCAAAGTGCAGACTGGTTCTAAGAGCTAAAGTCATCCAGTATCAAGTGAGGTCAAAATGATAATTAAGAGAAGCTACCTGAAGGTGAAGTCCAAAGGCTTCTTCTGAAGATGTTTCCTGATGGGGCACTCCAGTACAGAGTTCTGTATAATGCAAGGTCTTCAGTGATGAAAATCACCTAAAAGCAACCTGAGGAATAGGAGGAAAGAAAACTCTGAGAGCTGTTTTGTCAGAAGAGGGACAAGTCACCTGGAAATGAAAAAACAGAGGGAAACCCAAACTAAAACCCACCTTTGTGACACATTCAGTGTCAGTAGATCAGATTAACTTTTTCTTCAATTTTTTCACTTGTGTTTTCCAGATATTTGTAATTGTGTTGTCTGGTTTAGATGCAAGGAATTAATCCTTCTATTTGCATTTTACCTCATCCTACCTTGAATTAAGTGTGATTTAAGGTAACTAGGTAACTACAAGGCATTCCTCAGTCAAGGTGTGGTGAATCCATTAACACAACAACTCCATAATAGTCTGGTTCTGCTATAACCAAAGGGCAGCAGAACAGACTCCCACAAGCAAAGCAGAACAACAGTATCATAGAACTCAACCTCCCCCCCCCCCCCGCCCCCCAGAAATACAGTGAAAAGTAGCACAGCAAATAGAGATCTAAATGTCTCTTTGAAACTAACATACACCCAGAGGGAGGAGAAAATACTAAAAACTCATTATAGGGCATTAATCTGCCTTGTCATTACTACACATAGCTGGGGGGGAGAGTTGTGGAATTTTTTGGTTGTCATTTTTAATGAAGCATAAAATCTTCTAGATAACTGCTGTACCCTGAACTGTTGGGTTTTGCTTGTTCTTCAGATCACATCATTATAGATCAACAGTTCATCACTATGGCTTAATGTTTCCAGCTCTGCATGTAGAATTATAGGATCACAGAATAGTTAGGGTTGGAAAGGACCTCAAGATCATTCAGTTCCACCCCCCCTGCCATGGGCAGGGACACCTTGCACTGCCTTACTGGATTCTGACGATTTCATCAGAAATCCTTTTATGAGTTTCTGGGACATTACCACCTGGGAGTAAGATGAATGATCCTCACAGAGCTCTTGCAGAAACCTTTCGGAAGCATTTCTATCAGCTGATGAGATTTTTTGAGGCCTGTCAGGTAGTGCTGAATTCCTTTAGCATGTACCCAACTGATCTGATGACTTTCTAGTTTCTTAGCCAAAATATGCTGTAGTATCAAGTTAAATGCTTTATACAATTCTAAATCCACTACATCAATGTTATTACCTTAATCATCCAAATCTAAACAAAAACAGTAAGTCAGTTTGGTGAGATCCATCTGCTATAACATAATCCATACTTGCTCAAGCCAAGAATGGTATCAAATGGGGAACAGATTATTGGATAAAGCAATGCTAATCATCTTATGTTCATGCAAGATGGGGAAAATGTCTGAAGCCTTTATAAAATGAGAGATTTTTATTGAATTCCAGCCTTCTTTGCACTGTTGATAATTCTGCCATCTCCCTCTGCTAATCCATTGTCAAGATTCTTTTCTTCCTGATACACACGCTCCTCACAGCAAAACCAAACTAAGTTACATCATATTGTTTGTGTCTTTGTCCTTAAGTTTGCTGATCATGAAATGTTCTTTCCATTCTTCTGTTCCCTTCAAGAAATTTATGACAATTTTCTGCTTTTAATTATTTTCAACATCCCCTTTTTCTGTGTGCTACACTGGATATGGAGTTGTGGCTGGAAACCTACTTGCACATCCCTGTATGTCAAGCTAGATCATTTGACCCAGAAGAGCTCTGTGTTTCGATGAGATTGTACTTTTCCAGGACAGCCACAGAATTGTCATATGCTCGAGTTATCAGGTAACTTTTTCTGTTAAGTTCCCTTCTCTTGATTCATTCACCTCATACTTGCTTTCCATTTTGTGATACTAAATCTTCTGCAACCATCCCGTATGTCTGTTTGTGGTCTGGACTTTAACTATTTATACCATATGTAGCCACACCACAACTACTCACACTCAACCACCAACCTTCGCTTTGTACTGAGTTTGTTTTCCTCTGACCAAAACAAGGTCTCATGTAGAATATCTAGTACTGTTTCAGTTAAGAAATAGACAGTCCAAAGATATTTTAATGAGAAAGTCATATAAGTAAATTACTTGCACATCACACTCAGATTGAAGTTCTCCTTCCTTCCATGCAGGTTTATTCCTAGTACAAGCACCCAAGAAGTACATTGCATGGCCTTGAACATCTATCACTGGTGCATCATTCTGTCCTTGCACTACTAAAACAATGATTCATAATATAGCATTCCTTAATCATTCCTTATTCCATTCTCCTGAACCAAATGAAAAATCTGCAGTTTGTAAAGAAGTATTAAAAAAATCAGTCTGAAAAAAACAATCCTTTAAAAAATTAGAAGCCCTATAACTGGAAATGTTGAATAATGTTAAGTCTTTATGTATGGTACCTATTACCCAAGTACAGAAATTCATGTACACACACTCATGTGTGTATATATTTCTGAACTATATGGATGCGTATATAAATACACACACAAGTGTAGTTCAGAAACACATTAATATCAGTTATACTGGTGCATTGTTTGCTCCAAGTAAACTAACTAAGTAGTTTGATAAGGATTTAAAGTCTCCTGCTGATAAACTTACAAAGGTGTGTCTCAAGCTGATTTTTTGCAGACAGGCCTTGGTCACAGCTGAGCATATGGAGTGATCCTCTGTACCCCACTTGATGATAACTGGGACTTGCCAGATTAAAAGAGTGAACTTACAACAATGCATTTTTGTGTTCCTGATACACTTGAAGCCAGAAGTTAGAAAAGGTACCAGTAGTGCAGCTCAGTGGAAAGCAGGGAAAACCTCTGGAAACAGACAGCATTCTCAGTCGCTGAGTTCCATTCTGTACTTAAACCCTGTTAATCCCTTCAAAAAGACAACTGCAAATACATACATACTGATATGTACCTGGGTACACAGAAGGTAAGGAGGAGATGACGTGTAGAAACCCCCCAGGGGCAGCCAGAATAAAAAAACAAACAGGAAGAACAGGGTTTGCTGATGAACTTCTGATTGTGCTGTTATAACAGGGTGAACTGTGCCTTTAGAAGCAAGAGCCTTGCTCATCTAAATCTGTACCCACCTTGCTCCTCTGCTGGCTATGGGTAGATAGGAGGGA